GAATCTATCTGAGCATAAATATTATCGTTAGCTTACAGAATATGGAGAGAAAAAACTTAAAATCTCTGAGGAGGAAATTTTAGGAAATCCATATTCATTGAAAAAATTGCATTATTTCTTATGTAACTTAAAAATAAAGATAAACTCTACAACATAGCCTTATAAGCATTTTCATTCAAATTGGTACAAAACTTTTCCACTAGATAGCACCACAACAAACTAACTCTAGTGTCCATACTAACAAATTTTGACTTATCATAGTGGCGACATCTGCAAGCCAAAAGTTAACCAACTGTAACAAAGAGAATTATTTATTTCCAAAATGATTTTTTTTCTTTGATTATGATCTCACAAAAAAAAATTTTGATAAAAATAAAGTTTAAATACTCATTAATTTATTATCTATTTTAATCAATATGATCTATAATTATCTATAATAATTTATAACTATTGTATAATTTATTATGATTGTTAATGTATTATCTATTAAAGTTTAAATATTTATTGCTTATTTAAATCTTTAAAGGAGTCCCCGTAAAAGTTAAATTAAAAAAAAGAAACGTAATGTATAAGACGAAATCAGAAGATCGGACGATCGGACTCTTGAAGTAGAAATAATCTTTCAGCTTTTTCAGCTGAAAAATTTGTCTTTGCAACGCTGACAATTACAGTCATAAACTTGCCCAGATAGTTTTTCTAAGGTGTGGGTGTGTCACTGTAGTTCTAAACTTTTCGCAATATAATGTGACTTCAATGTGAAAGACTTTCCAAGTGAAAATTAATGTTATTTTGTAATAAAACACGAAATTTTACTTCATTTTAGAGTTTTAATAGTTTATATTGCCTGAACGGCCTAGCCTGAATATTGCCTGAACGGCATTAACTAGAGTGTCACCTCTAGGCACTCTATCACTTATTATATGAAAAATAAAATGTATTGTATGAACTATAGCAACCGCGATTCACACTTCCATTTATTTATGTTGACCTAAAAATATTTATAAAGCATTTTTAAAGAAATATATTTTGTCCTTGTTCCCTATATAGATGTCGTTAAAATGGATTATGATTCAAACATGATATGAGGCGGGTGGAAAAAAAATTCTTTGTAGCCTTTATTTAATGTATATTATTGTCTATTTCGGTTTTAGGCATTGCTCTCCTTTGTTTTTTATTTGTTATTAATAGCTGCTTTTGAGACGGCCATTTAACGGACAGTTTAGAGGTTTTTATAATTTTTTGGTTCAAAAGGGAGATTTATTAATATCAAGTCAAAGGATGGAAGGGTCAAAATTTCTATAAACACATACATATACTAAAAAAAAATTTAAAAAATTTTTAAGAAAAATTTTATTTTGTCCTTGTCCTTTATATAATTAGCACAGGATAAAAAGAGATAGAGCAAATAGGTTCCAAAATTTTTTTTAAAACAATCTCTTTGTGAAATACTGCAAGTCTCCATATTAAAAAAATTCCGAAAACAGATTTTGAAACAGAACATCGTTTTGAAAATAAATATTTAATTACTAATTCATTTCAGTAAAATATGAAATTATTATGATTTTATAATTTATTTATTAATTAATTTTAACTAATTTATTTTTTAATAATCCACTTTTGTAGAGATTCTCTTATATGACTGTAAAAAAAATCTAATTCGATTGCAAAAGAACTAATAAAATATTTTAGCTTAAGTACATAAATTGCTCTGATTTTACAACAAGCTAATAACATGGGAGCTTCATTACACTTTTAATTAATCAGATTTAAAAGATAGTCCAATAAATAGAAGAAAAAGTATTTCGTCGAAAAAATTATTGCTCAAGATTTTTGTCAATGAAAATATTTATTATGTTATTAATATTTATTTTATTTTAAATTACACCTAAAAACTCCCCTTACGCTTTTCTCTTTTATTGGGGGGGGGGTGGAAAGATTTGAGGGAGAGAAATGAATTTTTATAAACAGGCAAATGAGACATTGTTTTTTCTGTGATTTTTACGCTGAGTAGAAGGAGACCAATTGCGATACAAACAGATTAATAGTTTAGAGGTTATAAAATTTTTATGTACAAAAAGTGCGAATTTTTACGTTAATTTTTTCAAGTATCTGATATTGCTATCTAAATAAATGAAACATTGTTTCCTATGTATTTTTTTATGCTGAAGCGAATTGAGTTATACACAATTCAAAATAAAGATTATTTCTAAGCAGCATGTGTTTTCATGTATAAAAATTACTACTTTTGCCATAATTTAATGCACTTTTTACTTCGTTATCTATGGACTGTTTGAATATGTGTGATACATTTTCTGATGAATTTTTTTTTACTAATGTAAATTAGATAAAATTCAAACTGATAGGATTATAAGTTTAAAAAATTATGAGAGCTTTCTTTATAATAAGTACAATTCAAAAATAGTACTTTTCATGCAAATATTTTTCTTTATTTTAAATATTTACATCTTTTGAATTATATTTGGTCTCATTCAATTAAAAGAGAAGAAATACAGTGCCTTACTTGTCCGTATAGCAATATAAGATTCGCGAATAAATACAAGTACAAAATTGTACTTTTTGTACACGAAAAGCATATAACTTTTAAACTATTAGTTCGATCTTACTTATATATACTTCGATTCAAAAATATACAAATCGGAAGTAAACAGTTGACATCTTTCAAGTGCTCAACAATAGGCTCCCATTTTCAAGACCTGTTAGACGAGAATGAGAACAAATAAAAGTGAGAGGAAATATGAAACGTAAAGTTGCCAAGGAAAAATTGAAAAATAAAGGTGAGAAGCAAGACTAGAAAAATCGCATTATCCGAGGGAGAAAGAAGAAGATTTTATTTACGACACACTAGAGCTACACAATGAGCTATTTGCAACCCTCTGGGAAAGATCCCTGAGGATGATCCGGAGATTACATACATACGTCACATCCCGTTTTACAGAGAGTACGTTTACATTTACGCAACGGACCCGTTTACATTTACGCAACATCCATCCTCCCGCAGATCGTAATTTTGACCTGAACGATCAATCTCTCATCCAGTACACCCAGAGGTATTGATTCGTTATGAGAACTTGGCGTACATTGTAATGCAGATATAGCAAGCACCAGTCACCATCTTGTTAGTTAAGCGATGAAAAACAGAACCACTGCTGCCGAGAGAGGCAAATCAGGGTAAATGCATTTCCACTCTCTCTGAAGAGGTCGTGAAGAACTATATGTCATTAACAAGGGAAGTAGCATTCATGTGAATAAAACAAGATTCCAGGGCATACGTTGAGCTAATGTGACTGGGGTGGAAATAATTTGGGCGCGGTCGAAATTAAAGTTCTGTCAAAAATTTCAACAATGTGCAGCAATGAGTGCTTTCTCGTATTCTTGATAACGGATAATATCTATCATGTTCTTTAAGTCTAAATTTTAGAGCTCGTCCAGTTTGTCCGATGTAGACAAGGTCTCATGCACCGACAAGGAAATTACATTAAAAAAGTTAAAAAATCATATATATATAAATTTCTGTTTGAAATTTTATTAAAAAAATGTTTGGATACGGAGCATACCTCATTTTTTTTTCTTTATTTTTCAGTTAATCTGTAGAAAATGAAAAAATTTTCATTTAAGAATTTCATGACAAAAAAAAATTTTTTTTTTTTTAATCTTATATCTATAATACCGAAATATATTTGATAATTTGCTGTTTAAAAAAGTTGTGTGACATTCTAGGAATGAAATTTGATAACATGAAAAAATTTCTAAAATCGCATTTGACTGGACCATAATCTCTGGTCACACGTTCTCTGGTTCAGGTCAAAATTACTATACGCCGATAGATGGTGTGTGAATGCGCCCCCTGTAACGGATGTGACGTATGTATGTTGTCTCCGGATCATTCTCAGAAATGTTTCACAGACCGTCGCTAATAGCCCTTTGTGCAGCTCCAGTGAGACATAAGCAAAAGAAAGAGCGAACGGACCTTTATGCAGGAAAATAGGCGATCGCAACGATCGAATACGCCATCTGGGAGAAGACCGGTTCCATGCTTTTGGCCCTTCTCCTTTACTTCCCCACCGCTTTTCAGTTGAATAGGAATGTACTACGATATTTTTCCTTTTCTCAATATTTTTTGTTTTTAGTTAATAAAGAAATTTTTTTAAATTTCCATGATGCTTTCTTTTAGAACTATGTTTAATGTACTTTTCAGTTCCATATAGTTTCCCAACTTAAAAGAATTTATCTATATGAAAATCTGGACTGATCATTAAGACACGGTTCCCAGCAGATCACCGAAGTCAAGCATCACTGGCTGCGGTCAGTGTGCGGGTGGGTGACCACTTGGATTAGTCTGCGTAGGGACCGAGGGTGTGCGGTATTGGTCCTCGTTAAACCGTTCTACCGCTAAGTGCTCGACTTCGCGTGCAGGTCATCGGGCTACCGAAGCGGGTGTGCCTCCCCCTCTGAAGAGGATCAAAATTGTGATGGCATGTCTTCGGATCATCCTCAGGGATGTTCCCCAGACCGTCGCCAGTAGCCCATTGTGCAGCCCTAGTGCGACGTAAATTAACTACAACAACTATATGAAAATCAAGACAAAAACTATTGTACTTCCTTCTTCTATGACTCTCCACACGCTACCGCTGAAAACATGTAAAGTGTTGCCATGTGTAGAGAGTCTCATCAATCACACTTCAGCATTCTTGCATGTTATTTTTCCTCCATATACAGTGAATGGCTCTTTTACAAAATAGAATTTTAGCGCAAATCCGAAAACTACGTAAGAGCATCATTACTAGCTAGTAAGGATTGAACTGTAACAAAATTACTCTGTCATAGTTAAAATTAAAAATATCTTTTGTCTCTAATTCAGTTAATTTGCAAACATTAATTTTAAGGTAGGTATGTAGGTAGGTACTTTATTTCCATTAATTTTAAACTTACTTTTAGGTATTTACCAAGCCTCATGACGCAGTTAAGATTATTTTCCGATTTTAGTTACTCTGAGGTGGCGCGCTAATTTTCATTATTGTTTAGATCGCCATTCTGTCGTGGTAATATTTTTGTTATTAAGTTGCTGTCCTATATTTACTTATAAAAATGGTTAAGCGTAAGAATAGAGTAGTATATGACTCAAGTAGCGATGACAGTGATAGTGCTGGAGAAATCAGCGATTCTGATTCATCATCTGGTGGCAAGGAAAACAATGTTGAAAACAACAAACCGGATACCACAACTCCTAAAAAAGCAGACACCACCGATTCAGAAACTTCTGAAAGTGATGATGACTGGACTGTTGATGGTAAAGGCGGTAAGAAAAAGAAAAAGGTTAAAAAACCTCCCCCAACAAAGAAACAGCAAGAGGATGTCAAAAGTTCGAGTAGTGAAGATGAGGATGAAAATCCCCGAAGCTCTGAACCCGAAGAAGGAGAAGTATCAGATTCAGATAGTGGTTCAGGTGAGGCATCAGATAGTGATGAGTTTAATGATGGATATGATGAAAATTTAATGGGTGATGAAGAAGATAAAGCTAGACTTATGCAGATGACTGAAAAGGAACGTGAACAAGAAATCTACAATCGTGTTGAAAAAAGAGAGGTTTTAAAAACCAGGTTCGAAATTGAAAAAAAGTTACGTCTTGCCAAGAAAAAGGAACAAAAAATGAAAGCTAAAAAAGAAGAGATGAAGCAAAAGATTGATGCCAGTTCTCGAAGCAAAGAAAGACGTAGGAACATTGAAGAAAAGAAGGACAAGTTGGACAAAAAAGCTCAAGCTATAAAAGATTTAAAGGAACAGAGAGAGAAAAAAAGAAAGTTGATGGAACTGCAACAACAAAAAACTGAAACTGATGAGCAGAAGGACGAAGAAGATGGTGAATCTGATAAAGATTCCGACCAGCCTGTTAAGAAACTTAAAGCGAGTGACATTTACTCAGATGATGATGATGAAGATGCAAGTGGTAATGAAAGAGATAATCAAAGTGAGGCATCATATCATTCGCGTAGTGAAGATGAAGATGATCCTTCAAGTAAGAAGTCTGAATTCATTAATACAAAAGAAGAATTATCTAAAATTAGATTATCTAGATATAAGTTAGAAAAATGGGTTCATGCTCCATTCTTTACTAAAACTGTTTCTGGTTGTTTTGTTAGAATTGGCATTGGTACAAATGATGGTCGCCCTGTTTATAGGGTTGCCGAAATCATTGATGTTGTTGAAACTGCTAAAATATATCAGTTAGGTACTACTAGAACAAACAAAGGACTGAGACTGAAACATGGTCTGCAAGATAGAGTTTTTCGTTTAGAGTTTGTTTCTAATTCTGAATTCACAGACTCCGAATTTTATAAGTGGAAAGAGACATTAATGTTAGAAAATATAGCTTTGCCAACGCAGGATGATATTAACAAAAAATTGAAAGATATACAAGTAGCTCTGAACTATCAGTATAAAGAAAAAGATGTTGAAACAATTGTAAAAGAGAAAGAGAGGTTTAAGAAAAATCCTCATAACTATGCCATGAAAAAGACTCAGGTCTTGAAAAATAAAGAAATGGCTGAAATCAATGGTGATGAGGAAGAAATTCAAAAATGGGCGGCAGAGCTAGACAGGCTTGAAGAACGAGCAAAAGAATTGGATAAAATGAGGACTAGTACGATTAGTGGTATTTCATATATAAATGTTCGTAATCGGCAGCGAAATATTATTGAAGCAGAAAAGGCTATTTTAGAAGCAGCTCTTGAGAAAGAAAGTGGAGATGATCCCTTTACAAGACGAAGATGTGCTCCAACTTTAGTAACAAAAAGCAGAGATGTGCCGATGAATTCTGCCCTGCTTCTTGAGTTAGCTAAGCAAAAGGAATTGGAGAAGAAAAGAAAGCAAGAAGAAGATGTGCAAAAGAAAAAGGAACTTGAAAACCAAAAAATGGCTAATAATTCTTCGCAAAACAATCATGATGAAGATTTATTCAGTGCCCATGATTTTGAAATTAAAATTGATCTTCAAATGCCCAACTCAATTTCAATAACTGCTCATTCAAATAGAGTGCCGTCTGCTCCTCCAGCTGCACCGAAAAGATCTTTAAATTTGGAAGAATATAAAAAAAGGAGACGGCTTATATGATATTTTTTTTATGTTCGTTAAATGTTAATGGGTTAGTTACATAATGAATGTTTTTAATTTCTTTATTTTGTTGTAGTAGAAGTTTTTTCATTGTCGTATGCAATATAAATATATTAGCACTAACTTTTTCTAAGTAAATTGTTCTGTACTATTGAAGTTCAGATTAATGTTTCCAACTTCATTGAAGTACATAATTTTAAAAATTCACTGTTTAAAAGCAGTTTTGAAAATAGCAGAGGTTTAGTAAATTTTCTTGATTGTGCAACTGTTTAGTAAATTTTCAGATTTTCAATGTATATATGAGAGTTAGACTTGTATTTTGCATCTGAAAGTAACTGCTTTGTTGAAAAATTTGTTTTTGTGTAGAGTTTTAAAAAAGTTGCCGAAATGCTGTTCGTTTTATGTTGATTAATAGCAGTTTGTTGTCACATGCCTAACTTTGTTTTCCTACTTCTTAATTTGAAAGAGAAAAAAAAAAAACTCTTTTTGGTGGAGGAGGATTTCATTAGGCTTTGCAACCACTTATTGAATGGTGAAATTTTAAAAAAAAATTTCATTTGCTTCTAAATCAACTTAATACTTTAAAAAACATAACTGAATTCTAATAATAGCTAATTCTAATATTTTTGACAGTTTGATTGATATAAGCAACAAACAATGTGTGTGTGTGTTTTTTTTTTTTTTTCCTAGCTGCTTTGTTTAAAAATTGTTTGTCTAGTCTCTTAAAAAAAAATTTACATGAAAAAAATGTTCATTCTACGCAAATCAATAACAGTTCATTGTAGTGAGTTTTGATAAAAAATAGAATTTTTTAATTTACAATGTAGAATGCTTTTTTTTGGGAGGTGATTAATTTAACAGTTGCATATGATTTTTTTTTTCAAACTGTTTTTTTTTTTATCAATTGAGAACTTTATAAAATACATATATGTGATAGTGCTGGAGNGTTTTTTTTTTTTTTTTCAAGTTGATTTAAATAATTTTGAGTGTTTTTATTTTATCTAGTTCCATGAAGGTTCTTAGCCTTTGAAAATCTCTGATCTATTATTAACAAATTATTCACATTGAAAATAATTTTTTTTCATCTTAAATCTTTTTGAAAGTTTGTAGCTAAACTCTTTTTTTTTTTTTCTAAATTGTATGGTGTTAATAATTTAGGTCAATTTTGTGTTCTAACTGATATCTGTTTTTTTTTTTTTTTTTAAGAAACTTTTTTTTAATTGAAATTATATAAAATTTTTGGCATTGACAACATGATTTCGGTACTGATTTGTTCTAAATTATTAATTTATGCTCCTCTTTTTTTTTTTTTTTTTACTTTACTTTAAATACAAATGCTTGGAAATGTTTCAAGGATTGAGAAATTTTTTATAAGCACCAGCTTTTGATGATTTCAATCCTGGAAAAAATGGTCTATTGGCTTAATGTATTAACTATGAAAATTAACATACTTCTTAATATTCATATTTCAAATGCCACTTTGCATATTGAACTGTAAATAATAGAATATAATTAAGGATGGAAAAAAATTTCTTAATAATAAACCTGCTTATTATGTAAATATATATTAAATATATACCAGTCTATATTAGATGTTTTAAGTAAGGTATTCTTATAATGTAAAATATATTGTAGAAAAAATATCCATGCAAATTGTTAAAATGAAACTAAACATTTTCATTAAAAAAAATTCAACATTTCTTGAAGATGAGAGCTCTCAGAAAAAAGATTTTCTAAATATAAAGAATTTTTTTTTTTCCTTTTGCTCAAAATTATAATTTTGTATAATTAGTAATTACTGCACCATATTTTTACTTCATATAATTATTATATGTTAATATGTAAACAGTATTACATATTTTTTGTGCTTATTAATTCAATGTTTTAAATGTATCCAGTTTTTAAAAAAACTTCATGCATTTTGGTTTCATGACTATCATCCCAATTTTTGGATATTTTAACTATTAATAGCGATTTTTTTTTTAAATATAATCAAAAAGAAACTATCAATTTATGTGAGTTTGTATGCACAAGTAAAAAAAAAACCTTTTCCTTTAGTTTCTAATAATAGTTTATTTTACTAGAAGATAAAATTTAAAAAACATAGAAAAGTATGCACTATTTAATCAAAATTTGTTGCTGGATCTGAATGTTTTCTGAATTCTTATTAGTAACTTTTACTATTATTCAATTTCAGATAATTTCAGTTTTATGACATATTTAGTAGTGTGGATTATGATTGAAAAGGAGTACACTTTTTAAAGATAGGTATTAAAAAAGTTGTGCAATTTATTAACAGCGGTAATATTATTTGTTCTGACCAATGAATTTAAATTCATTCTTAATTTAAATCCAATCCATTTTTTGATCTTGATAATTTCAGCTTTGAGTCAGTTCAGAAATAATTGATTGTAGTGAATTTGTTATTTCAATTAATTTTATATCTATAATCATACATTTTTCAAGCCGGGCGAAAGTACTCTTACTAAGCAGATTTATTTTTACTAATAATAAATATATTGGAATTTCTTGTTTTTAAATATGTTTTTGAGAGATTTTTTTTTTATTTTTTAAATCCACCGCCAAAAATGTTAGTATCCACCAATTTTTAAAATTGTTTTCACTTCCTTTTATAAATTTTTCATCTTGATTCAGCCCAAAAAATAATCAATTTTATTCATGTGATCACCTAACTTGGTGTCTGTTCATATATGTATGTGATATACAAACTGCCAATAAAGCTGAATTTTCTATGTAAACAGGATACCTACTTTTCATTGCTGTTTCTTCAACAGCATTATACCCCCAACAAATCCGCACTGAATGTTTTTACACCATGACCTGCCAATATTGCATAATTTTTTTGACTGTCTGTAATACTCAGCAATATGATGATGCTTATGAATTTAGTTTTTCTACTTTCCTTCTGTTGGTTTTATGGTAGTACTTCTGCATTTTGAGGGCTCCCGTAAATTGTAACATGTATAGCACAGCTAACTTCCAAATTTATAGTTTGCTGAAAACAATAGTCAATGTCACATGACATATTTTAACTTAATTTGTCTGATTTCCAACATAGGTTGCTCTGTGAGGCACTGTTATGTGAACCAAGCAATAGTTCGTTTTTAGTTCAATCGATTCTTTGTGCAGAAAAAAAATGTTCACCAAAGTGTTATGAAAATAATCTAGAATTTCTTTCTGTATTTGTATTTATAAGTTGATTTTTAGTTAAACCTTAACAGCTTTGCTAACACATTTTTTTTTCCTTCTAAAAATTTGATTATCCAGTAATTCAAATGTAACAATGCATAAAACCGTAGTTACTTTTATTTATTTATCATTTTTTTTAATAATATAAAATTATGCTTATGAAAGTCATGATTTCTAAGTTTCGTTGAACAATGATTATTTGTTTGGTAATTCTTATATATATATATATATATAGGCACAGCACAGAAAATTGTTCCAAAATTAGTTCATGTTTTAAAGTTATTGATTAGAATATCTTACACTGCCATGCAATTGAACATAAGTATGTAACATAACTATGCAACATAAGTGCTTTAGAATTGTTTTTAAAAAAAGTTACTTGATAATTATTTTCTTTCTATTGTTAATGCAAAAAGTTATTCTTGTGAAACAATGCTTATGAAAGTTATTATTTCTAAATTTGGTTGAACAATAATTATTTGAATGGTAATTCTCATAAGCACTGTGCAGAAAATTGTTCCAAAATTAAATCATGTTATAAAGGTATTGATTAGAATACCTTACACTGCCATGCAATCGAACATAAGTATGTAACATAAATATGCAATATAAGTGCTTTACGATAGTTTCTAAGAAAAGTGACGTGATCATAATTTTCTTTCTATTGTTTATGCTAAAAGTTCAACTTCCCAAAAAACTGATAAAATAAAACTTACTTTTGAAAAAAGACGTATGCAATAAGTATTTTATAATACAAAAATGACAAGTATATAAAAATCAAAATTTTTTTTTTGTCCCTTATATTGATTTTTTTATTGCACAACAGTAAAACCTTGCATAATATTACATGTTTAATGTATACTAAATTATTACATCAAGTACAATTCTTGCAAGCTAAGTCTCTTAAAATGTTTGATAAGTTCGCTTTTTTTGGTACCATTTTGTCTTTTCAAACAAAAAAATTTATTTACTGTTTCACTCTTTTGACTATTCTTTTTGAAGTGGATGCAAGTCTTTCTAAATATTTAATGCCATTTTATCCATTTATTTTCTTTTAAATTTTTGTTGCAACAACTTCATTGATTTTCATGAATTTGTGTTTTCCATAACTGATTCTTAACTACTTTTAAAAATAATCTTTGCAAGTTATGTAAATATTCCAGTAGATTAAAATTGATATAAAAAAATTTGTAAAATAATGTGTACAGAAAACCAAAAAAAAATTTCTCTAAATAATCAATAATGTGTATGAAATGTGTATTTATTGTTTAGCATATCTTGTAAGGCAAATAAAAGTTACTATACAAGTTTTTATTATTGGTTTTATTACTTTCCAGGAATTATATTTTGTTCATATCAAACTTAATGCAAAGTGTGTTTATCTTTCATGTAATATGTGCTTTAGAGGCCTATTTCCTCTTGATCCTACTTAATCACCTATGACATGAAGATGGGGAGTAAAAATTCTAAATAAGCATGTAATCCTCTTTATTTAATTTTCACAAATTAACTGTATTTGGTAGTATCTTTTAATGCATGACCATTAATGAAAACAGATTTCAAGATATAAGGCGTGTTGTATTTTAGATTCTTTATTAATAAGTTTTTTGTTCTTAAAAGTAGTTTTATCATGTACTTTTACCTTTCTTTTTTTATAAATATCTTTGTTTTTGTGCAATATGGGTTATAAGTATTTTTGCATCATCCAAATCTGTTTTCAGTAGTTTAAACTGTATTTAAAAAAAAAATTTAATATCACAAATGTGTAGTTTTAAAGTTATAAGGAAAATTCCATAGAAGTACTAAATATTATCAAGTGCTATTTCTCTAATGCTGTCGAATAATTCCACATCATCAAACACCAAGCTATCATCCAAGATGGTGAGAGTAGATGACTCTTAAATGAAAATTCCTTTGAACTTTAAAACTAAGCATTATAAACTAATTGAAACAAAATATTTTAAGCACTTAACTTGCAACTGAGTTGTAAAATATAAATTTACATTATCTATTAGCTAATATTATTGGCAACATTATAATAGAAATACAGTAGAGCGCCGATTATCTGAATGTCCAATTATCCGAACTGTGTCTAAATTATTTCTTTTTTTATTTAAAGTTTAGAATACTTTTTAACTTATCAACAATTTTTCTAAACTAGTAGATCTTCCGGATGAAGAGATGCCAGGTTATGCAGCAGAAGAAATAGACTGGTGTTGAGACACTGAAAACAACCCAGGAGTTTAAATGATGATGAAATTGTTGCTGAAATTTTAAATGAAAATTGGAACTCCACAGACAAAGAGGAAGAAGTTGGTGATCAAGTTCAA